TGGCCCCTCCTCCCGGCGCCTCTGGCCTTCCCTGTCGCCCCCCCAAGGGGCCTCGGACTGATCTCTTTTCGTGCCGTCTTCGTGTCCTTGTGGCCTGCCCTGGCCTCCCCAGCCTCTCTGGCCTTCTCGTCCCCCCTCGGGCTTCGGGTTGCTTTGGCTTCGTGTCGCCGTGTTGTCGTTGTGGCCTCCCCTGGCCTCCCTGGCGGCTTCCCCCGCCCTGGCCTTCCTGGCCTCCCTGGCCCCTCCCCCCCCTTTTTCAGGGCCTCGGATTGATTGCTTTCCTTTCGTGTCGTCGTTTTTGTCGTCGTGGCCGAGGCGGTTCCGAAGTGGCCAGGGGGTGACCTTCTGCGGGGTCCAGATCGTGAGCTTCGGCGAGACTGGACGGAGCCAGCGGGCCGCCTGCTTAGCAGGCAGAAGTCGCTGCCTCGCACGGCTCGGCAACGGGACAGAGGGGTATCCGCTGTGCGGCGGCGTGTCGCAGCCCTCGCGCACCTCCCCAGTGCGATCAGGGTCTGGTGCATCACCATCCCCCACTGCTCTGCATCCGTAATTGTATGATCCTTGGTACGCGTACCTCTTGTCTACTCGGAAAAGTGATAGGGGGAGGAGGGATGGGGGGATGAGGAGGATGAGGAGGAGGATGAGGAGGCAAAAGAGGAGAATAAGGAGGAGGATCAGGCGGAGGACGAGGAGGAGGCGGATGATGAGAAGGAGGAGGAGTCGGCGGAGGAGGAGGAGGAGGAGGAGAAGGAGGAGGACCAGTGCAAACCCAAGACTCATCCACGATGTTGAAATACACCCTCCCCCCGAGATCCATCTTCATAGGCCCCATGCAAGGGGTCATTTGGCACTGAGGGAATTGACTCGTTGGGGGACAACCGTGTGAACACCTTGAAGCGTGCCAGAAACACCATTCTCAGGAGCTCAACGCCACGAATTAAGCTGACTGTTGCGTCCTGGCTGTCCCGAGTCGTGCCAGAACGTCGTTCCTGGGACTTCAACACCGCGAATCAACGTAACTGTTGGTGTCTGACAGTCCAGACTCGTTTCGAAAACGCCGTTTCTGCCACGTGAACCATGAGAACCAGTGGCGCGCTGGCAAATGTTACAATCGAACGTGCGCGGCGCTCTAAGGCGAGAGCCACATTTTGAAATCACACCGCCCTCAATCCGTGAAGCTCTTGCAAGTTTGCGTGGCGCTAAGGCGGCCGCCACATTGTGAAAACGACCCGCCCTCAACCCATCAAGCTCTTGCGACTTCTTAAAGCGAGTGTTCGCGGCGCCAATGCGAAAGCCACATTTTGAAGACGCGCCGCCCTTGATCAGTGAAGCTCTGGCCCAGTTTGAAAACGAATGTGCGCGGCGCTAAGTCGAGAGGCGCATTTTGGAAACGATCCGCCCTCCATCTGTGAAGTGGTTGCCAATTCTGAAGCATCAGGGTTATAAGTGGTGCGGAAGTTTCAGGCGACGAGCCCAGCCCGCCCTTTCGACCGCCTCGAAGTGCGAGAGGGAGGAGTTACCCCCTTTTAAAAAAACCCCAAAGGGGGACAGGAATGGAGTAGGAGGGGGAGGAGGAGTAGTAGGAGGAGGAAGGAAGAGGAGGGGAGGAGGAGGAGAGGGAAGGGGGAGGAGAGAAGGGGGAGGAAGAGGGGGAGAGCAAGGAGAGGAGGAGGAGGAGGAGGAGGAGGAGGAGGAGGAGGAGAAGGAGGAGGAGGAGGAGGATTAGGAGGAGGGGGATGATCTCGGCGAGTCTGAGAAAAAATGAGCAGAGAGGGGGAGAGGATTAGGAATTCGGGGAAGAGAGGAGTAGGAGGACGAGGAGGAGGAGGAGGAGGGGAGGAGGGAGGAGGAGGAGGAGGAGGAGGAGGCGGAGGAGAGGATGAGAGGAGTAGGAGGAGGAATAGGAGGACAGGAGAGGATAGGATAGGATGAGGAAATGAGGATGAGGAGTAGGCAGAGGAGGAGGAGGCGGAGGAGGAGGAGGAGGATGAGGAGGAGGAGGAGGAGGAGGAGGAGGATGAGGAGGAGCAAGATGATGCTGAGGAGGGGGAAGAGGAAGACCATGATGCTGCTGATGTTGTTGCGGATGATGCTGATGATGATGATGCTGATGCTGCTGCTGGTGGTGATGATGCGGATGCTGCTGATGATGACCACGATGTTGATGCTGCTGCTGATGATGACGATGATGATGCGGATGCTGCTGATGATGATGACGAGGCTGATGCTGCTGCTGCTGCTGCTGATGTCGATGACGATGACGATGATGATGATGCTGATGATGATGATGATTGCCATGAGGCTGCTGCTGCTTGCTGTTGGTGACGGTGATGATGATTATGATGATGACGCCGATGATGGCCATGAGGCTGCTGCTGCTTCTGATGATGATGAGGCTGATGATGATGTCCATGAGGATGGTGATGGTGGTGATGATGATGATGGTGATGATGAGGATGATGATGATGATGATGATGATGATGATGATGATGATGATGAT